GTGCAGCCCCGAGTTAGGAAGTTTCACAAGCCCCTCAACACTGGTTCTGCACATTCATGTAAAGTCAGACCTGGTCCCAAATTTCCTGTCATGAGATGAGGCAAAACATTCAGCCCCAGCACAGTCACAACCAAGATGCTGCACACCACTAGCAATTCAATTAGCTAGCTGCTCTGTAAAAAAAACAAACCTGAAAAGGCAAAGAACCAGAGAACCTAGACTTCTCATACTGCTGAAGTCATATTGTCCATATTAAAAAGCATTCCCAGATGTCATCTGCTCTGATACTGCCGAGAAAATAGCACCAGTAGTGCTCACTGTGCTTTTTGCAGTAGGAAAACTATACAAAACACCTGAAAATGTTACTATCATCCACTTTGCCAGACCAAACAGAAAAAGATATTTCTTCTTGACTTGTAACTACTTGAAGTCATAAAACCACTTATTTTACTAAACCCATTGTTTACTCTACATCTAACACCTTTCAGAAGAGAGGAGCCATTCATTCCTCACCAATACAGGCTTTGGAAACCACACCTCCAAAAAAGTAGTAACAAATTTGATTTTACTTGTTTTCATTATAAGCACTGCACACACAAACATTTTCAGTTTTAATTAAAAAGCAACCCAATTGTCCAAGTCTCTTTTTTTTTATGCTAAAGAATTTCATTAGAAATTCTCTTCCCTCCCTCTGCAATCTTTTTCTGGAGTGAAATAATCCTTTAATCTCACATGAGCTAGATTGTCCTTCAGGCTTGGATTATTTTATGGATTTAGCAAGTCTTCTCCATTTCACTATGTTGTTTTCTCCCAGCTTCAATGCAAGATTAATTTGGGGCAATATATAAAGCTGTCTCCTGTGGGTGGATTATAGCAACTATTTACGAATTTTCATGCTAACCCAGATTCTGAACTCTGTGTTTGGAGCAGACATCTTCCTTCCCACAGAAATCCAGCAGCTTTTGCCTCAGTGCCCACTGCCCACCAGTGCTACAGATTTAAAGGAGTGAACGTGACAACTGCAGGTTTTTGGAGTAAGAGCAAGAGTACACAAATGATGATAATTGCAAATGTAAGTTTTCCACTACAGCCAAGATATTTACTGACAGGAGATCATCTTTCCCAAGTGCAGGTCAGCTGCAAGTGCAGAAAAAGCATCTGAACCAAGTAAACTCTTTAGTATCTGCTCCCTTTTGGTTTCAGCCATAACACACCTTTCTGTTCCAGGAAGTTATCCAATAAACAAATAAAATTACCTTGTTTTCTCTTTATATTTTAGCATAGGGGCACTGAGACACTGAGATCCAATCTTCAATTAAAAAATAATAAATATTTTGCTTTTCCTCCTTTTCACATCTCTGAAATGCCAGTAAAGAACAGGATTTTTAAACATTGAGCCACTGACAAGGAAAAGGAGGAGCAAAGCCTCTATATCACACATTTATTACTCATCTTCCTCATTCCTTTGCCAGACTTGAATTGCCTGCACCAGGGTATCTTTAAGTTATCCAAAGCTACTGGAAACAATTTATTTATGTCTGGGTCTCAATTTTACTCCATCCTTCAAGGCAGCAGGATTACTAAGCATGTGCTGCTCTTCTGAAAAAGGCAGTTGAACATTAACTTCTTTATTTGCACGTGAAGTCTGGTCAAACACAAACCACATTATGAAAAATATAAAGACCCTGTCAGGTCACATGAGACTACTTTCTTACAAGTAAAACACAAGATGTCCTGACATGAGTTCTGGTGAGGAGGTAGGGAGGAAGGTTTCATTGAATCAAAGACCAGTTTAGAAACTTGCCAAAACCTTACAGAATTATATCATAGCACAAAGTCAACAATATCAACCCCAAAGCTTTGTACATCTGAGAAGCCCACATCTATTTGCTGTAGTGGTTACTGCTAGAGGTGGTAACAGCCACTAGTATCTTCTGATCCATCTCTCTCTAATAAGAACTGAAGTGCCTGAGGGAGCAAGTCTGCTCAGCTGTGTCCTGCTGTGTGGGGCACAACACCTCTACAGCCTCAGCACTTCTACTTGCTGTGGTGTCTGGCAGGAAGAGCCCTCTTCAGGGATAAAAACAACCCTGCTGTCCAAAATACAGGACTTCATCTGGAAATCTACTATCAACAGAGGGAAGGTACTGGTAGCTGGTGAGCAGCAGACAATGCAGCTACAAGTGTGAAGCTCAGAACAAAGCTGTGCATTAGCAAAAGATGACAGCCTTCAGCTGATGTCTTACTATTACTTCTTTCAACAGAAATTGAAAGAATTTACTCTCCTTCCCACTTTAACATGATACAAAGTTGAGCCTAATAAACTTTGAAGTGATACCTTGGAAAAAAGATACTACAAAAATAAATTAGTTTTATATTTGCATAATTTCCCCAAGTAGTTTATCACCACTTTAAGTCTCCATCACTCTGCCTGGTACATTACATCATGGTTAACACAGTGTTGGAAACTAAGAGCACAGAAACTCAAGTCACCACACTGGAAGCTCCTACAGAGCTAACAAATTATAAATTCCTGGAAAAACTGTGGATAGCTATGTCAATAGAAATATCCTAGGGACTCTGTCCTCTCCCTTCAACTCTATGGCCCTGCCTATGCCATTAGTGCTCCCTTTGAACCAGCACTGCTCAGGAATTATGAACTGATGATTTATAACAGCACCAGGAGACTACTGGTACATCCTCAGCCCTTCTGCAAGACAGGAAAAATACTGACATCAGTTATGCATTATTTATGAAAGTGTTTTGTTCCATTTTTGAAGTAGTGGCAGTGTTCTTTCACAAAAAGGAGTCTGGAAGCCCAAAGTTGCCATGTAAAACACACAACATGGGTTTGAACCTGCTTTGTGCAGGGAGCAGCGCCCAGTTGTGCTTTGGCAGAAGTGGGTAGGAAAGACAAGCAACCCAACACCAGCCACACTGTCCATTTCCCTCTGCTCTCTGCTAGCAGTCAGGACACCTCTGCTCCTTTCAGTCAACACCTAATTGCATAAGAGAGGGGTAACAGACACTCTGCTGGAGCTGCCTTCCCTTCTCTGTCACAGGCCACATGTATAAAAATAAAGTTTAACTATGCAAGCAGATGCCCTCTGGAGTTACCTTCCATAGGTCTGCCTCACTACCTGCATCCCTCCTCTTTGAGAAGCCTCCTCCTTTACTCCAGGGATGAGGACTTATTTCATGCCCATTTGCATAATTTTGTTTGGTGTTGGTTTGTTTCACTGCTAAATGGCAAAACCTTGACATGAAAATGAAGAATTATGAAACCATTTCAATAGTGTGTCAGGCTCATCGATGTGTTCAAGTGCATTAAAATGTTGTTAATACAAGATACAACATACAAACACTAGGATCAATGGGAAATTAAGTACTTTAAGGATGGCAAAAAAGCTACAAAAAAGGTAAAGGGCTGCTAAATGCAGAGTTACTTAAGGCAGCTTTTTATTTTTTACTATAATTTCAGGCCTATTTCCAATTTTATCCGATAATCTACTCATTTATTCCTCCCCCACTGATCTCAATTTCTCTTTCTGCTAGGCTTAAAACAACATTTGGACTTTTTTACAGTTACACAATATCTTCGAGAGATGTTTGCATTGCTTATATATAGTTTAAATCCCACACATACTGTTTACTGCAACATTTGCCTCTTCTAAACACCTATGAAGTTGAAAAGGAGCCATTACACATCCATCATCAGAAGCGTGGATCTGATTTATGTAATGAAAGATAAAGATCACATTCCAAGCTTACTAGGGAGACGTAAAAACAGTAATAAAATCTTTTATGTATACACTGCTTTGCATTTTACTCACAAGCATGAGGGCCCTATGTCATACAAGAGTTTGCCCACCTCCAATGTTCAGTTTGAGAGACCACAAGAAAAAGTGTTTTTTTGAATTTGTTCCAAACTAACTTAAATACCTTTTCGTTTTCACCTTACATTATTTTAGGCTTTCTGTGATCCTGGAATGGTTTTTAACCCCTAAATCAAACCTACTTCAATCCCCCAATGGGCCCTCCAACCCATCATCTTACACTTTTTTACAAGTACTTCTCAAGATCAGAGAGCTAACTCTGACTAGTAATCACTATGTTCAACACTAAGTGTTAAAGGCCTGCCTGTTCTGCCCAGAAACAACACTCAAACTCACAAAAAAACCCTCCCACAGAGTTTTTTTTTTTTTTTCAGTCCTACAGCCACATCTCATCCACTATCTCCTGCTTTCTTCCAGCTCCTCACATATCTCAAAAATACACAATTAAATTCAGCCCCAGATCAGAAATGGTACTTCTTAGCAGGAGCAATAAGCAGCTGCTTAGTTAAACAAAAACCAGTTCTCTCCCCTAATTCTTACTAAGTGATGGATCACCACTAAGGGCTGGTACTGCTCAGGCACTACCTACTGACTGTGAGGAAGAACTGTATGTTAATGCTTTCGCCAGGGATTAGTTGTTTGCCAGCTGTAGGTGAGAAGCATGTTTCAGAGATGAGGCACAGAAGGGCCCAGACTTGTTGATGGGAGGAGAATCCTGCAGAAATTGGACTGAGTAGGTGACTGTTGGGTGGGGAAAAGGAGTGGGATCTTAACAGAGTTTACCTACAGACTGCAGCGATATGGGGGAAGGAAAGACAGATTATTCACCAAAACAGAGTCCTACTGCCAACCACTCCCTTCAGGCATCACCTTAGATAAACCTTGGCTAACAGCACAGGGGAGCTGGGCTGGCTCAAGCCGCCCTCTGACACCCTGCACCATAAAGGAGTCAAGGGAAGAGCAGGGCCTAAGGTGGAAGCTGATGCAAGGGAACTTATAAGAAATAAGCTGACAAGCAAATGAGAGCAGATTTTTCAAAAAACTATCAAAAAGCAAAGGTTTTAAACTAACCACACTTTTATTCTATTAAACTATTGCAAAGTACTCTCAATCCTTTCAGTTAGAGGTACCTGCTTCTTTGCAAAATTAAAGAGCAAACCATACCTGAGTCAGAACATCCAGCTGTCCCATAATGTGCTCCAAGGTATTTGCAAGACTGATCTCCTCCTCTTGCTGCTCGTGGCTCCTACCAGGATCCCGAGTTTTTGTTTTCTTAAGATGAAAACCACAATCCATTTCTGATTGCTAGAAAAATAAAGAGACAATCTGCTATTGGGATGCAAACAATGGAGGCAGGATTTCTGTCTCATGGAGGGTAAACAGTAAAGAACAATTTGTGGGGACAGTCTATGCTATTAAAAAGGGAAAAGGAGAATAGGAAGGGTTTGTTCTCGCCACAGATGGAAGAGAAAGAGCTGCCGCAGACTTGTCTGCCTTCTCAGGTGGAGGGTTTTCAGTTTTTTCCTGGGGGATTTTTAGTGGGTGTGTGTTGTTGCTTGTTTTTAAACCTTCATCAGGAAAGTCAAAAACTTAGATAATAGACTTGAAGCAAACCTGCAAGGTTCAAGTTTTACATGTGCAAAGAGCTTTGGCATGCTCATGTGGTGCACAGGCATCACTGTACAGGTAAACGAAGACTTATTTGAGCCACATGGAAGCACAACAGCCAAATTTCCAGAATTAAGTAAGCTACCCTGAGAGTCCAAACATTTCACTCTAACAGTAAAGGCCTCTCTCCATGTTTGGTAGTTGTGAGAAGGCAAGGATGTTGCACCACAGTGAAGTTCAGCAAAGCAAGATGTTCCAATATGCATTAAAACAGGCAGTTTTCATTTAGTAATTTTAATTTTGTTTATATCTCAAACTGGTTTTCCCTCCTCAGTGAGGTTAGGAACATGTTTACTTTGAAGTTTCAACTGTTTTAGTTATGCAAGCTTGAATATTTCATTTAGAATAAATTAAGTTTTAAAAGCACAAATAGATCTCTACTGGAGAACTTATTCTTATTTTCTTTCAGAATGGTATCTTTATTCTAGAACAAACACTAGTTGCATTATTTATCTGCATAACTACCAGCAGAAGTAGTTCAGAGAAGTTTATCAAACTAAACAAGGGAGCCAATTGATTAAGCAATTGCAGACTCAAGTTTCTCAATTTACACTAACAGACTAGATTTTAATCTAAAGCCAAGATCACAGCACTCAAGTTCTCTGTGGCCCAATGCCTGGTGCAGCTCCATCCCATGCACTTATTACTCACACAGATGACTGAAGTTTGCAAATCAACAAAGCAGCAAGGGATTCTGACAGATTGAAAAATGGTCTCTAAAAGCTCTCCCACATGTACTTTTTCTAAGCAAGAAATGCAGAGTTGCTTCCATCTCTCCTCTCACGTGCACTACTAGGAACCTGCTCATCTATACATTTGATGCCAGGTCCATGGAGGTGTGCAACCAAGCTGCAGCAAGACTGCAGACCAGCTCACACAAATTTAAACCCAAAACTTTTTAGTGTGTTATGAAGATACACATGCACACATGCATTTACGTGTATACATACACAGAAAAAAATGTATATTTAAAAAATATATATAAAAAACCTTGTGCTGCTAGGAGTCATCAATTTTGGCCATAGAAAGGCTCCAGTCCAGCAGCTAGACAGAATAAGCAGTGCAAAGAACAAAAACTTGAATACTTGGAAGGTGGGGGAAAAAAGAAAAAAGAAGCCACAGAAGCAGCTCATACAGGAGAACACCTACTGGTCTCCACTATCTGCTAGTAAGGGCCAATGGTTCTTCCAGACCCTGCCAACCAAACTATCCCCGTACAGCCCAGTGTCACAAGATCAGTTTTGTGTAAGGAGCAGGAAAGGAAGGGAAAGGTTTAAAGGCTACATATAACAACTGCTCCACAGGGATCACCGTGCTGCACCAGCAGCTTGCAATGCAGCTGGGTATCAGGTGGTACCAGCCATGCTGGCCTCCACTAATTTGCTTCCTCCCACTTGCTTAGATAATTTAGATGATATAGAGGCCCCAGCCCAAGGCAGCCCACATGCTGGGTCACACAGCACAGCCTGGGCATGGGAGTCACACTCAAACTGCTCCTGTGCTGCAGCAGGTAGTCCAAGAGCCACCTGTTGATCACTGATGTATTGATTTAATCAACTAAAATACGTCCTTGCAGAGATGAGGTAGAGACAGCCTTACAAAGCTGCTATTTGCCATTTTAAAGTGAAAACCAAAAACTCAAAACACTGCTTTTCAATGAGTAATTAGCAATAAAAAGCATGTTTTCTTGTTATTTTAAGGCTGACTATCCTATTTTGACGATGTAACTTTGGGCCAGTCAATCATGGCACAGCAGAAATTTGAGTGAGCTAACACTGCATATAACCTGCACTTAAAAACCCCAAATGATGATGAGTGATCCACTTCAAAACCCATTAGAACAAGCTGACTCATCGAAGCAGAAAAATGACTGTACAAACATATTTTCTCTCTCTGTAGCATATGTCAGACAGCTTTTCATAAAAAGCTGCTGGGTTGAACTCAGAGCTTATACTCTTTGCTACAGCCTACAAAGTTTAAGAGTCTGGCATACTTGCAAGGGCAATACTGCACAGATGTTCTTGCATCCAATCCTTTAGAGGTCAGGTGGTCCCTCACCATGTCAAGCTGAAGCCAGGGGTAGCAGCAGCTGTTTGTCACAGATGCTACATTCTGCTGATCAGCTCACAGACTTTGTACCACCCCCATGAAAAGCTGAGCAAGCCACCTCCACAAAGCCCATGCAGGCTCTTGGGGCACTCTGAAAGGTGGCAACACCCTCAAAAACTGAAGTCTATCTACATTTTAAAACAGAAGAATGACAATATGGCATCAGTCCATCACCATCAGGAAGATGACCTGTAGCTAGTACCTTTAGCAATGAAGTTCTGAGTTACTTCATATATCTGAACTAGGAACACAACCAGCCAGCAAAGAAAGAAACATGTCAGTGTGTCATGAAGCTTGACTTCCAAAGGGAGGCTTTCAACTGGGCATGGTCGTTGAATATTCAGTTCTACGAACAAGCACATCCTACCTAGCCTGCCCTGCCACAGCAGGTGCAAAAACCAAGTATCCAACACCCACACCTACCTTCACTAGACTAATTTGAACTCATGCTGAAGTCTTTTTTGTTTGGTTGGTTTGGTTTGGTTTTTTGTACAGTGAAGGAAAGCTTTTCCTGCTAAGAAAACACAGCCAGGACTTCACAGGGCAGATGCTGGGGCATTTTACAAGTATCCTAAGTCCCAATGGACACCTAGAATTTTGTTTGACTTTAATTTTAGAAAGCTGCCAAACATTTTGACAAGCATCACTGTGGGATCATCCAGGGGCAGCTTTGCCTTTTACCCATTAACAAAAGAGGGGAACATTTAGAAACTTGCCCTTAACAGCCAGACTACAACTTGTACTTACCACTGCCTTAATTGCCAGTACATTTGGAAAGAAATGTGCACTGTGATGGAGAACCAAATTGTCCCCAGACTGAAAGCTTCCCAAATTCTGTTAAAGGGGATTAAAATCAGCCCCTGCTACTGTCTATAAGAATGAACAATAAAATCTTCACAAAACAGACTACAGCCACTCTTTTCCTAATAACAATCTATAACATGTGGTAAGCCAGATTTAAATTTAACAGATTTTTAAAACATGTTGCAAAAACACAGAAAGAGCCCTGAAATATGCATTAGCTTTGTGACAGTCTGGTACTGATGAGCATCACGATTACAGAGAGAGACACCCATGCTCCCATCTGACTCACCTGCAAGGTAAAGTGCCAGCTGAATCCTGAGGACAGGCACCAGAAACAATGACACTACTGCAGAGGTTTAATCTCTTTTAGTCAGAGTTCAAGTGCACAATTTATTCAACACAACCAAACAAATGTATTTGCCATTAAATATCTTATTACAACATGTGCTTATTAAGCACTGGGAGTACAGCAAGAAGCAGCTGAACATTAAAGGAAGAATAGATGAGCAGTTTCCGAATACAATACAGCTCTCAGTGACAAAGGGAAAACAGAAGTGATTTATTTATAGCAACCACTTAAAGACAGCACAGTGCAACTACTTGGGGGAAGGGGAAAAGTAATCAGCCTTCATTCCAGAGGTCTCTTACTGAGCCTCTTACGAAAACTGTTCTGGCTAAACAGCATTCTGGCCAGCCATTAAAGTGCTGATCAGGGAGTGGGCAAGGATTAGCTGCACAACACATGTACATCAGTAGTAAAACTGTAAGCAATAATTTAAAAGAAAAAGCTATTTTGCTTTCTAAATTGTGATATTTAGAAGATATATTAACAGGATAACCACCTACCTGAATTTTACACCTATTAGTAAAAAGTAGGATTCTTATAATTCAATCCAGAAGTATTTCTTTTTACTTCATTTCTCTCCACTGGAAGGAGAAACTGAGAGGTGTGAGGAGTATAGGCTCAGGTCTACCTTTAAATCCTTTTAAATCAATTTCCAGTGTATCTGCAGTTTTGGGTTTGTTTTTAATTTTCAAGTAACTAGAAAGATGTCATTTCTGTGAAGCAACACACTTAACACGTTTGATACACATATCCAATGTATTGAAATTCACTAAGTGCAATTTAATTCACTATCTTAGAAAAAAAAAATTCCCTAGAAACCCAAAGGTGGTGTACACTGCTTATCTGGACCCCAATTCTACTAATCCAAATGAGCAAGAAATATAATTAAAAGTCTTCTATTTCAAGGAGTCATTTTCACCACAGGTGAAGTGGTATTTTAAATGTGTTCTCAGAGAGCAACAGTGACATCCAGTGGAAACATATTAGCTTCAAGGTAAACTTCAGAGGAAGGTCAGATGGAATATGGTGCAAGACTGAAGAACTCATTAAAAACTAAGAGGTAACCTTATTTCTCCCTACTATGAAAAAAATACCCGTGACTGAACACAGCTCTCCAAGCACAAGCACATTTCTCTAGTCTGGAAAAGCATCCCCTCTTCAATGCAGCACTGAAATCTCTGGAGCAACCACGTTCTTCAACACTTGCATTACTCCACATCTACTGTCCAGACCAGAACAGGGTAACAACTGGAATTAGAATACAAATCAAACTCGTTTTGTGAAGCAATTTACAAAACTGAATCCCTGCTCACCTCTTATTTCATAACTCAAAGTGTGATAACAGAAGGGGATTCGGGAGGTAGAAAAAGAAAGGTGA